ACACCGGCATTCTTCTTCTACAAGTATTATTTCTTCACACTATTCAATTTCTTATTTTAATTGCATTTGTTATGTTGGGTTGAAATATTAATCCTTATTATTCATTTGGTTGAACCTGTAGCAAAGATGAAAACAAAAGCAAGCAAGAAACACAAATAAAAGTCACCGACACGGTTTGTACATTGCTTACCACATATTGTTATCATATTTAATGTTATCTGTATCCGTTTTTTTTCTACAAGCATCAATTATGTTCACTTTTGAGGCAATGTAGATGACAAAGGACATAGGACATCAACGGGGAACCCAACGGCAGGAGGAGAAGAATGATTACAAAGAGATGGGAAGGTGTAGTGTTGTTGATAAGCAAGCCAAGCTGAAGGAGAACCCAACGGAAGGAGGAGAATAACGATTACAAAGAGATGGGAAGGTGTAGTGTTGTTGATAAGCAAGCCAAGCTGAAAGGTCCCCTTCCCACAAAACCAAGAAAGGTGAAATATAGGGAGACCAAAAAATGAATTGTTTTAATATGAACTATTTCACACATTGTAATAACGTGTTCGCATTTGCATATACTCACATAAATTGATTCACACACTATTGTTAATTTATTGAAGTTGTTTATCTTAAATTATTCTAACACCCACTATATTCTTTTTCAGTGGCATTTCCAAACGCAAATTTCCTTGAGATCAATTGTTAAAATAATCAAAAGACTGAGCTTGGAACAACATGATGCAATTAGTAATAGTGGTTTAGGGGGCCTATTGAATCTCAGATGTACAAAGCTTGATCATGACCTCTGCGAATGGTTGATTCAGAAATTTGATCCCAAAACTTGTTCCTTGAATGTTCATGGCCGACAACTCCTCATTACAGAACTAGACGTTCACAAGTTATTGGGCATTCCTGCCAAAGGAAAAACCATAGAATTGAATAAATCTTCAAAAGAATTTCCCAAACTATTTGAAGAACTTGGAGTTGTCCAAGGTGCTATCAAATTAAATGCTTTGAGAGATTATTTAACCAAAACCGATGGAGCTGGAGAGGAATTTAAGAGGATATTTGCCCTATACATATTAGGTGCATTCTTATGCCCAACCACAAAGGATGTTGTTAAGCAATCCTTCATTCACCTCGTTCGGAATGTGGATGGCATGAAGGATTATAATTGGTCAAAGTTCACTCTTCAATTCCTTGTTCGTGGTTTACGCAAGTACAGTTCAAAAAGTCAATCGCAACCAAATGAATGCTTATTTCTTATAATGGTATACTTGCAACCAATTAATAATTGTTTTGTTATAAATACTTGATTTTAATGCTTATTTCATTGTCAATCGCAACCAAATGGATGCTTATTTCTTATAATGGTATACTTGCAACCAATTAATAATTGTTTTGTTATAATTGTTTTATTTTAATGCCTATTTCATTGCATAGTATGTGTTAAATTCATACATTTTTGTGATGCAGTTGTTTTACTTTGATCGTGTTGCTCCGAGTGGTTGTCATGTTACTCGTGCTTGCTCGGTCCCTTGCTTGGCTGATTGGGGCGATGCAAAAATAAAAGAGACATTGAAACTATTCAAAAATCCAGGAGGTTACCAGAATGAGAAGGTCATCCTTTGTTTCTTTTCTTTTAGGTTTGGTTTTGTTTGTTTTTATTCATGTTGAAATGGAAAACTAAATACTCTATAACATGTCTTTAAATAGGTTACTGTTAATTTTGTTGTTGAAGAGCAAATGCCACCATCAGTACAAAGCGAGGGAATGAAAAATATTGATGATAGTTGGATTTCAAAAATTGAGACGACTGTTTGTGACATTAAAAGTATTTTGGAAGAACTAGTTGTCATTATTAAAAGTGGAATGGCTAATTCTTCCATTTCCAAGGTCATGGAAAGATTGGAGACACCACAAATGCCAAAGCAACGAGAAGTGGATCACAACCAATGTAATAAATTAGCTGACATAGTTGCACATGGAGTTCTAGAATCTACAGGTGTACCTATAGTTGAACATGTGACCAATGTTCTCCCGCCAAAACATGATGTTGTGGTAGAATCTACGATTCTACCTACAGTGGAACATGTCACCCCTGTGCTACTGCCAGAACCTGCTGTTATGGAAGCATCAAAAAACACGGATGAAAATAGAATTATGCTCGCACCATCAATCTTGAAATTGGATTCCCATCTTCATGATCAAACCACCCAGGTTCAAAAACAAGTAACAAATTCACCATTATTTTATGCCATTGATGGTTCTTCTGATACAAATGGTGCTCCCATTACACATCAGATACAAGGGAGGAATAATAAGCAAAAAAAAAATGACAGTGGAATTGAAGAATAAGCGAAGGAAAAAAAATCCAAAACTCCAACTTGTTGATGAATCTAGTTCATCAACTGGTCCATATGGTGGTCGGTGCACTCGACGTTCAGATGAGGGGGTGGAAAGACAATATGTGCAGTCACCTTATATAGCCATCGCTAGTAACAAGAGAAAAGCCATTCCAAAAAAGCCAACCCAAACAATACTTGACTTCAATGCAGCAGATTCGTCTCTCGATACAAAGGATGATAAGTTTGATCAAGTAAGTCATGTAGATTATATATGTATTATACGATGTTATTCATTTGTGATACTCTATTTCACGATTTTTGGTTTTAATGGTGTTTTGGTTGCAATTTGTGGTAGAGTTTGAACTTACTTGGAAAACTACTTGGCGCCAATTTCGATGCTATTGAGGTTATTACTCATTCTGTTATTGTTCTTGATCTCCAATCCCCTATAACACACTGTACGAAGTCTGACAATTTGTTATTTATGTATTGGGTTACATTCACAAGTCATCCACTGCACGAATTGTAAGGCCATGTCCTTTATCTGCCGAGGAAAAAATTCTGAAGGAATATTGCTTCGATAAGGATTTGGAAGACAGGTAATTTTATTGAGTTTATATGTTCCTCTATCAATTAACAGTAAGTTTAACCCTTCAATTTTCACATGATTCAGTGAGGATATTGTGGTGATGGAGCTGTTTTACACGCCGATTGAACTTGCCACCCGCTTAGATTTGTGCTCATTACAACCAAAAACCTGGATTCGTGGTTCCGTAAGTGTTCATTTCATACGTCAATATTGCTATGTGATGTCATTTTCAATGATATAGGTCTGAAATTATTATTTGTTGCATGTATTGTAGATTATCAATTTAGTTGTAGCAAAATTGACAAATGCCCAAAGAAGGCTTTTTCCGGATAAGTGTCATAGTACATGGTACTTTCCCACATATGTATCGGTGAGTAGTATAGTGTGTCATGTTAATGTTTGGGTGTTGATGTACACTTACTAAAGCATACTTGTACATTATTGAATGTAGCAACATATTTTGAATGGGACGGACCATGCAAAGCTATGCGACGAATATTTTGGGGAGTCTCGATACACTGGGAAGCTTCATGCCTGTGAAGAAGTAATGGGTCAAGCACTCTTACATTTTGCACGACTATTCTAAATATCCTCTCCATTGTACTGCTATTATTAAATTTTTAATATCTGTTTTATGGCATTATTATTATTTATTTATTTTTCATTTTCTAAATTGGTTGGGCAACATTGCACTAAGTTTTGTTATTATTGTTGCTTAGATATATATTCCGGTGAATGACAATGGAGAACATTGGTTTTGTGTCAAGATAGATATGGCACATCGCATGGCCTATCTATTTGACTCGCGTCCTAGTCGCACAAATGATGAAAGTCGAGAATTAATGGCAACGAAACTAGTAGGCCATTTAACTTATTTATTTATTTATTTTTTTGTCTTTGGTAAAATAAACATCATAATCTATATTACTACGCTCATGCATAGGTTCAAACAATGCATTTGTTATTGCAACACTATTTTGGAGACCAGTATGTTGCCAACGTCAAGGAATTTGAATTAGAGAGATTGAAAGACCCTTGTCTCCAACATAAGACTGATAGGTATACTAAAAAAATTATTCCTTCACTCTCCAATTTTGGCTCTCCTATTAATATTACACACAAGGTTGACCTTCGCATGCATCTTTTCATGAAGTTATGACTGTGGTATGTTCGTCATAAAGTATATGCAAGGTGTTGTCATGCCGACCGGCATACACAAGGTGACTATTTCGTGTTTAACCACATAATTACACTACTACAATTACATTGTCATATGATGGTATTGTTGATGGTATATTGTCTGTTCTATTTCCTTAGTTTGATAAGATGGAAAGGTTTAGGCTGCTAGTAGACCTAGTGAAAGATTTGTCGAACAGTAAGTATATTGATGTTATGGATCGGTTGGACACATACAAAGAGAGGTACGTCCCCAAACCATGAACAACTTATGCCCTTCATAAGCTCAGCTCATTACTTATGTAATTTCCTTTTGAACAGGTACGTTAGGCTCCGGAAGGCCAAAAGGAAAAAGAAAGATTGATGACAAACATCCTTTTTGCCACTAAGTTTTTTTTTACAATTATGAGCATATTTTATGGCTGAAGAAGCTTGGACAAATGTAACTAACTTGGTTTGGCAATTTTTTGTGGATGCTTGAATAAGTATATTTGTTTTGGATTTTTTTTACCAATTTCTATGGAATATCTAGTTAGTGCTAAAGATTGGTGTGATGAAACTACATCTGATATGTAATTGTGAAGCAGTACTCTTAGTTGTTACAATTATAATCACTCAAAAAATTCATAGGAAGGCTTTGATTGTTTACAAGTTGTTTTACAAGTGAAGAAGGGAAAATTCATCTTGATTGTTTTACAATTTGTTTTAAAATTCATATTTTATTTTATTTTTTTAACTTTTTAAATCAAATTAATGTAGATACACTTAAAAAGATACAAAAATTGTGAAAATATTTTTTTGTAAATCACTAAAAACAAAAATAAATACATGGAATAAGCACCCACTTTAGGGTGCCAGAGCATCAACTAAACCAGTGCAACATTGTATCATATCCATCCAGAAGAGCATCCAGCTACTATAGTAACATCAACATGATAGCATAAACAAAAATATGTCAATGACCAAACTATTAACATTACTCCCAAACATGAGTTGGTGCAAACAAAAACAAATTTCAGACTATTAAGGTTCTTCCATAATGTCATCAAACATAACCACTAGAATAGAACAAATAAAAAAAGAACCACCACAATAAAATATAATCACATTTCCGGATCAAAGCGATGTTATAAGTATATCTGTATGGGAAGAAATGGAAAAGCATTTACAATTCAGACAAAAAAAAAGAATCTCCACTGTCTCCTATATTCAGTACTTGGCTATTGAACTCCAAATCCTATACAATCAAAATGTGACACAAATCAATTGTTAAAAAAATCGGATCATGTCAATTCTTCCCACAAATCGCATGATCTCTTTGTAAAATGAAGCCCGCTCTTTTCTAGCAACTGCCAAAGATCTATCGTTAGAAAAAGCTTCTTCGACTGTGTAGCTGCTGCTGCTGCTGCTGCTAATAATAATGAATCTATTGAACTATGAGCACTGAATTACACTATAAAGAATACCCTAATTAGACCATGAACAGGTACTTCAAGTCCTCTACTGTAAGCCGAGTCTGACGACTACCTGTCTCGTCCTCGCCAAATGCAGATGCAACCATCACTCTTTTTTTTTGCTGCAAAACAGAAAGTGAGTACTCAGCATCAGCATTGAAAGGAGATATAGAATACAGATACTAAGTTTGGACCATAAGCCAAATGTACGTGATTGATTTAACATAACAAAAGCTTTTCTCAGGAATAGGGAAAAATATATGAAGTAGCAATGTCCTATTCAGATTTCAATAATTCGGTTACCTGTCAGATAATAATAACCCTCTACACACTTGAATCTGTAAACAATGCCATCACTAACTATAAAATATTGTTTACAACAGGTGTGAGAGGATCTTCATCCACAATTATTATATGGGTAAATTACATTGAATCTCACAAGTTTGGCATAAATACACCAACCTCCCTTTACATAAAATTGCGATATAATGCTACTAAGGTTTAATTGGGCTACAAATAAAATTAAGGAATGATAAATTTTGTAAAGATGGTGTTCATTCAAGAAACCAAGCAACCATTACTAGTAAGTAAATCAGTTTTATCCTCACCAATGCCTTCACCAGCTGTTATAAAAGACCCTGTTCAACATCTAAAATACCTCTACTACCATATGTTAATCAAGTACAAAAGTTCCCAATCATAGTCTCATCATATTATAAAATCAATTACTCATTGCAAACAATTAATGAGAAGAAAAAAAGAAAAGAAAAGTAAAAGCAAGCATAACAAATCCAGTGCCAATAATAATGTGGCAGCAGATGGTGAGGAATGATAAATTTTGTAAAGATGGTGTTCATTCAAGAAACCAAGCAACAATTACTAGTAAGTAAATCAGTTTTATCCTCACCAATGCCTTCACCAGCTGTTATAAAACACCCTGTTCAACATCTAAAATACCTCTACTACCATATGTTAATCAAGTACAAAAGTTCTCAATCATAGTCTCATCATATTATAAAATCAATTACTCATTGCAAACAATTAATGAGAAGAAAAAAAGAAAAGAAAAGTAAAAGCAAGCATAACAAATCCAGTGCCAATAATAATGTGACAACAGATAGTGAACATTTCTACACTACCTTAAAAAATCTTACGAATTTTACATTGACAATGGAAAAAAACAGGCCACAAGATTGGAGGAAAAAAAATAATACCTGGAGAGCTAAAATGCGATCTTCAACTGTATCTTTTACTGTCAACCGCAAAACTGTAACCAGACGGGTCTGTCCAATCCGATGGGCTCTATCTATTGCTTGATCTTCAGTTGTTGGGTTCCACCAGAGGTCCAGAAGAACACGACAAGCTGCAACCATGTTCAGTCCTTAGAATTTTTACACTCCAATCATTTTCCTTCTCCTTATTTCCCCTCTAATCTACACCTTCGTCAGCGACTCCAGCACCAATTTCCTCACAAGCCCACACCATCCCCTGCCAAGACCCCCCTCCGTGCCCCCATCTCTGACAACTAGTTTCGCCTACCCACCGGGGCCACCGCTGAGATGGAGTCAAGGAAGTTAAACAAGATTTTATCAATTGTCCACATAAATTCTCACAATAAGGAATAATATGGCACACCACCACCAATTGCAAAGGACATATACCAAAACAAAAGGGTGGCAAAGAACAACAGGTTATACAATTACCCAACACTTCTATGACTATCCTTTTGCCTTCTTTCCCTGGGGGTGGGGCCACAAATAACAAAAACAAAAAGTAAACTGGGCACTGAGTTCCACACTAGTCTGCTTAGAAAAATGACAAATTGCCTGAGACACAGGCAGGCAGGAAAGAAAATAAAGACTGATTGGATAAAAACATTCAACAAAAAGAGACCAATCATAAGTGCCCAGTTTCAAAGCACAGTACGAGAAAATTGATAGCAATTGTAAATTTTAATGCCAATATTTTAAGCATAAGAGACCAATCATAAGTGCCAAGAAACCAAAAAACGAACCATCACACTAAATTTGAGTGTCAAAACTAAGATTAAGATATTACAACTACATATCAGGAAATGATTCTCCAAGGTCTAGCAGGCTTACACTTCCGAAATACCGGTCAAGTATTTCAACAAAAGATTTGGGATTTATTCACCTTTATTTTTTAAATGAATCCCCAAACTAAGAAATTTACAAGTAGAACAACGTAGACAAATGTCAGTTTTGATAAGAAAACGAGGCAATTTCAAAAAATCAAAACTGAAATATGAAGGGAGCCCCACACGTTTGGGGTGACATAGCCATATTTATGCATTCTTTGTTATTCATTAAAAAGAAAAACAAATAATAGAGCTGAAAAAGAGAGAGAGAGAGAGGGAGAGAGAGAGAGAGAGAGAGATATTAGTAGTGATTGTAAACTCATCCAACGTAAGGACAGCTCATCCAACTTAAGGACAATATTCGAGCAAACATATTTGGGAGTTATTTACCTTTATTTTTTAAATGATTCTCCAAACTAAGAATTTATGGATATTGTGAAAGATAAAAACACCTAAGACATCAACAAAACGTAACTAATATGCACTAATGTCTCCTTGCAAAAACAACGTATCAATCACTATAAGGCTCATCATAAAACTAAACTACACTTGAGAATTTGTCGGTTCATCAATATCTTCCATGTGGGGCTCCAACTCTGTGTTCAAGAATGTTTCAATGTCTGAGTCGCTACCCTCTCTCCGGCTAGTTGAAGCCAATTTTTTACACGTTCGCTTCGTGTGTCCGATGCTCCTACAATAGCAAATAACGCATAAACAATTTTAATAATCATGAATGGAGTAGGAAATCCCTACCTTGAAGAAAACAACTAAAATAGAGAGGATGGAGATGATGACCCAAAATCCAAAGTGCTCCAAATCCTCTCTTTTTCAGATTAAAAGAAAGATCTCGTGAAGCTCTACCTTTCTTCCAAAGGAACTAGGGTAGAAGACCACAAGGAATAGATCAAATCTTAGAGAGAAGGTGAGAGTAGAGAGAGAAACTCTCAAATGGCGGTTTTTAAAGGTTAAGAAAGAAAAGGTAGGTCAAAAAGTGATCCAAAAAGTGAAATCACGGACTGATATAATCGACTTTACGCTCGAGCGTAGAAAGCCCCGCTCGAGCGTAAGACACAGAATCATGCTCGAGCGTGAAGAAAGCCGCTCGAGCGTCGATTGCACCCTTCCAGAAGTTTTGCAGGCGCTGCACCCGCTCGAGTGTCAAACTCCCCGCTCGAGCGGAGGAACAAAACAAGGGATCACGCTCGAGCGTAAAAACTACCGCTCGAGCGGAAGAACTGCAGAGCAAAATACTGGGAGATGGAAATCCCGCTCGAGCGTCAAAACTCCCGCTCGAGCGGAGAAGCAACAACGAAGGGCCCGCTCGAGCGTTAAAACCTCCGCTCGAGCGTGAAGGCCAAAATCTGGGCATCACCTATTGGCATCAAAATTCATCCAACCTGTACCAGACCCGTCCAACACAACCTATACTTCAAATACAAAGAGATTAAAGGACAACAACAACCAATAAATAATGACAGGATCTACGGAGCCTAAGTCCGGATACAATAATCTAAAGAGAAAAGACCGGGGTCGCTATAGACTGATTGGATAAAAACATTCAACAAAAAGCGACCAATCATAAGTGCCCAGTTTCAAAGCATAGTACGAGAAAATTGATAGCAATTGTAAATTTTAATGCCAATATTTTAAGCATAAGAGACCAATCATAAGTGCCAAGAAACCAAAAAATGAACCATCACACTAAATTTGAGTGTCAAAACTAAGATTAAGATATTACAACTACATATCAGGAAATGATTCTCCAAGGTCTAGCAGGCTTACACTTCTGAAATACCGTCAAGTATTTCAACAAAATGATTTGGGATTTATTCACCTTTATTTTTTAAATGAATCCCCAAACTAAGAAATTTACAAGTAGAACAAGGTAGACAAATGTCAATTTTGATAAGAAAACGAGGCAATTTCAAAAAATCAAAACTGAAATATGAAAGGAGCCCCACACGTTTGGGGTGACATAGCCATATTTATGCATTCTTTGTTATTCATTAAAAAGAAAAACAAATAATAGAGCTGAAAGAGAGAGAGAGAGAGAGAGAGAGAGAGAGAGAGAGAGAGAGAGAGACATTGCAATATTAGTAGTGATTGTAAACTCATCCAACGTAAGGACAGCTCATCCAACTTAAGGACAATATTCGAGCAAACATATTTGGGAGTTATTTACCTTTATTTTTTAAATGATTCTCCAAACTAAGAATTTATGGATATTGTGAAAGATAAAAACACCTAAGACATCAACAAAACGTAACTAATATGCACTAATGTCTCCTTGCAAAAACAACGTATTAATCACTATAAGGCTCATCATAAAACTAAACTACAGTTGAGAATTTGTCGGTTCATCAATATCTTCCATGTGGGGCTCCAACTCTGTGTTCAAGAATGTTTCAATGTCTGAGTTGCTACCCTCTCTCCGGCTAGTTGAAGCCAATTTTTTACATGTTCGCTTCGTGTGTCCGATGCTCCTACAATAGCAAATAACGCATAAACAATTTTTAATAATCATGTACATGCAACAGGATGGAAAAAGGACATGCAATTAAAGTACCATACCTACAATACCCACAACGCCTTGGTTTTAGAGGTTTACCCATAGAAGATGTCCCTCCAGGGTTCCCTTTGGTCTTCACTACATTAGGATCACCAACGCCACATAGTTTGGGTGCAATATTTTTGTCGCCAACCTCAGTATTATATTTTGTTCGCATTGCCCAGCGCTTTTTCATCTTCAATGTCATCTGGAAAGCCATTTCCCTTGCCTCTTCAAAATCGTTGTCTACGTGTGAGGCATAATATGACATTTCACTAAAACATGAGCTTAGTATACCGAATCGGGCTGTCTGTGTTAGGGTGCTAGAAATTTGGGTAAGACTTGGTTGTTGATATCCTGACCTAGTACGTCTTGTCCATCTCTTCAAGACACAACTCGGTGGAATACACATTAATTGTTCAGATTTCATGACAGCAACCATGTGGCAACAAGGGATGCCAAACGATTCAAACTTCAAGCAACAACATTTTATTGTGATATCTGCTGGAAAATACTCAACCGTCCATGTGCTTGTTGGTGCCTTGTACTCACCAAAACGATAGGTGCGACGATCCTCCAACTCAACTCTTTCCATCACAAACAGTTTACCCTCTTTGCTGATTTCACGTCGAAACAATGAAAAAATCTTCCGAGTAAAGAGCTCAGCTGCATGTTTTTCCAAACTTCTCAATGGCGTAGTCAAAACCGGGAAACTATTCTCTGTTTTAGATTCTGTTTCTGCCTCATTAACACGCATCCTAGCAAGAGCCCTATCATATTGTGCTACAAATTCGTACAACTTTACCTTTTGTTCTAGGAACATATTGAAATATGCATTCATACCCTCGACACGTTGAGTGCTCCTCATCCCAGCAAACATGTGACCACGAAGATACGCCTCAACCCATTTATCACGCCTGCGGTGAATCTCCAACACCTAGTTATTTTTCTCCAACTTGTATTGTTTCACCACATGACCAGGCATTGTCAAACTCATCAATTTTACATTTCTTTAACATCAACTGTGCGAAATCATTAGTAAATTCTGGTATGTGGACATTGGTTGAGGCATTTTTCTCCAAATGACAAGAACATAAACGATGTCTGCAATTTGGAATAACTCTTTCGATTGCCTGACACATTGCCCTATCACCATCTGTTACAACAGAGATGGGTCTTTGTCCATCCATGGCCTCCATTAACGTTTCCAACACCCACGTGTATGTCTCCATTGTCTCATCAGGCAACAAAGCACATCCAAATATGATTGTCATAAAATGGTTACTCACGCCAGCTAGAATCACAAATGGCTTCTTATACTGATTTGTACGATAAGTTGTATCAAATACCAATACATCACCAAATGCAACACAATCCATTCGAGACCTACAATCTGCTCAAAAAATCTTTTCCAACCGGTTGTCCTTATCGACATTGTATTTGAAAAAAAAAATAATGGATCTGCCTCTAATTTAGCTTATAAGAATCCTAACGCACCCTCTGCATCCCTTTCTGCGAGTTGTACTTTGCGCTCAGCTTGGAATTGATTGTGCAAATCTCTGTGAATGAAGCCCACCTTCTCATAACCCCCTGA